TCTACTTCTTGGGCAAAAATCCTTTAATCAATCCATTCTGCAATATTCTTAATTTTAAGAGAAGAACAGTTAACATTTCCCTACTCAATCCCAGGGGTTTTTTTATGAGTAAATATTATTTAAATATTCAACATATTAATGGAATGACTGATATGGAATGATCAATATATTACCATAAAATGAAAAGCACTGTGTATAGAAAAAGGATAAAAAGTTAGAAGTGTGCCTTGTGTATAGCACTGTGTATAGAAAAAGGATAAAAAGTTAGAAGTGTGCCTTGTGTATAGCACTGTGTATAGAAAAAGGATAAAAAGTTAGAAGTGTGCCTTGTCTCTACGGACAGGACCATATCTTCATTAACAGCCCAAAAGGTCTGTCTGGCGTTACTTAAAGAGGGACAGGGATCTAGAAGTCAGGACTGTGAGAAACACTCAGTTTTCACTGTATATCCTTTAATATTGTTTGCATTTTTAGCTGTGTACACATATAACTTTTAAAAAAACTAGTTAAATTTTTAAAAGAAATAGATATTTGCACAGGTCCTCTGTCCAAAATCCAGTACAGGTTGGGCATCCCAAATCTGAAAATCCAAAATCCGAAATGCTGTAAAATCTGAAACTTTTTGAGTGCCAACATGAAGCTCAAAGGTAATGTTCACTGGAAGATTTCAGATTTTGGATTAGGGACGCTCAACTGGTACGTATTTTGCAAACAGTATTCAAAAATCTGAGACACTTGTGGTCCCAAGCATTTTGGAAAAGGGATACTCAACCTGTATTAGGAAGTTCTGGGGAGAAGCAGTTGATTGAGAAGAAGCCTTTTGTCTTCCTGGATTACCAGTGCTGCAGGCGACAGGACAAGCCACTGGGTACCTGTAAAAAGGCACAAGACAATGTAGAGGAAAAAAACGAGGTGTCTGTCCACTGCCTCTTTCCTAGGAATTGCTACTCTCCCCAAGTCTGGAGCAGATGCCAAATGTGGGAGAGAGGGAAGGTATCTGATCCAGTCTGGGCCAAATGACTTCCTACTCTAGGAGTTTGGGAACTGAAACTAAAGAAAGAATAGCAAAGGTCGCTGGGAGATACTGTGTTTATAAAAGTATAAAAACATCTACATCCTGGGCCATCTGCATTAGAATTACCTGGGGATTTTCTTGTTAAAAATGCACATTCCTGGGTCTCCACTCCCCCTTCCTTGAACTACTAAATCAGAATGGATGGGGGAGGTGGCAGGAATCACCACCTTTAACCTCCCAGGTGATTCTAACACACGTTCAGTTTGAGAACCACTGCTGGACACTGTGGAATGTCAGGCGAGGGGCTTGCAATTCACTCAGGAAGCAGTGAGACAGCAGGAAGATGCAGGAAAGGGGAGGGGCACATTCTAAAACAGGAGTCACCATCAAAGTGCCTCCAGGGCTCAGGAAGGGAACCTGGACAAGTGGAGCAGGTTGCACAGGGATTAGGCAGCCTGGGCAGCATGTGCCCACCAAGGGGGGCAGAGCTGCAGGCAGGAACGCCTGCCTGCCCAGTGCTGACAGATCATCCAGTTTTTCAAGTGAGCCTGATAATACGAATTTTTATATGAACTCTCCTGGTTTATAAAAGTTGGCAATTAAATTTTTCTAGACTAACTGTGTGGGTCTGTGGCATGATGGCCAAACCAAACACACCTGTGGTCCCTATTTGACCAGAGGTGACAGGTAACCTGGGAGGGCAACTGAGTGTCAGAAACTGAAATAGAAAAAGAGGGGGATGGATTAAAAACGGAAGAGGCAAAATTTCAAGAAAATGGCCGCTGAGTGAATGGGGAATAATCAAAGGGGAGAAGATATAGAACTTAACTCCAGGTGTGGAGGATTGAGGGCTGTTAGGACTCCTTTGGGAGGGAAGAAGGTGGCTTTAGTTTTTGAGGTGAGAGTGCTTTATAAGATAAAGTGCCGCACAAATGCAAGAGATTTGTCATTAATTCCCACTAAATGAGCAGCCAGTCAGGAGGAAAATACCTATAAATACTCTGTTGAGTAAGAAACATGCTAGCTTGTCTGCAGAAGGAGAAGTCTACAAATCTGTGGGATCAGAGAATAAGACTAACAATTCCACTGGAATTCTGAAGATGTATATTTAAAGAAGCAATAGTGCTACTCTCCCTTTGATTTGTCACCCAGGCCACAGCACCCAGACTAAACTTCTCAGCCCTAAACAGTAGCAACTGCAACAGTAAAACTGCTGTTGGGCCTCCCTGAAAAGGCGGATCAACAGAACAGTGTGTCCACAGAGGCTGCGGGACATTTCAGAATCTCTGCACCAGCGCAAGTGGTGGGAAACTCGCAGGACTGAGCGAGAAGGGTCATTTACCTCTTTAGGGAGCTAAAGTCTCTGAATCAGCCCTAGCTCTGTGTCAAGTTGTGAAGGGGCCAGGTGCCCTGAGTCTGCCAAAACTTTATGGTTAAACCAGTTGCTAAGTTGTACCCCTATCTGCCATTATGCAGTGAAGACCAAATGTGTTGATTCATTTCCGGGTAGCTTACAGATGCCCTACAGATCACTCAGGAAGCCTCCCACAATTCTTGCTATTCCCACCACCCTACAAAGTCAGCTGGTATCTCAGGATGGACATCGTGATCAATATGGTGGCTCTTGTAGAAAATGGCTTGTTTTAAAGTGCACCACCATCTGCCTCCCTTTTTCCTTGGAAATTAGATAATTGTCTAGTTTCACTATATTAATGAAGCAAATTCCACTTGCAGAAGTCTGGAAAGAGAGGAACCCATTACTACTTTCTAAGACCAGAATGTGCTAAATGCTTTACACCACCACGAATCCTGGCAACACCTCCCTGAAGGAAAGCGTATCATGATTCCTTTTTCACACCTGAGGAAGCTGAAGCTCAGAGGGATGGAAAAACTTGCCCAAGGGCATACAGCTAGTAAAAGAAACAACTAGGTTTTGAACCCCAGCTCTTTCCAACACCCCAAACCACCTCTTTAGGTGCAGCAACTCCTGCTCTGAAGGCGATGCCAGCTGGAGGTCACCCACCAGCCCCAGGGCTCGACAGAGCCACGAGAAATCCTGCCAGGAGAGACTCAGCTCCGAATGCTGGAGTTGCTGTTACTTCTTCCCTGGGGTCCCCCCAGCAACCAGGGCTGAGCCAAGCATTGTCACATGTCCCTGCTACTCTTTACTAAGCCACAGGTCAGTAGAAAGCAACAGCAGCAATGTTCTGGCAACCAAACATTGGTTTCGCTTAGAAGTTGGAAAACAGTCCCTGCATCTAAGCCTAGAGGACTCTGGAATGTATTTATTTTTTCTTATGGTCAGGAATTTCTCTCTCTCTCTCTCTCTCTCCCTTCTTTCTGCCTATCTATCTATCTATCTATCTATTGCATTCATGAGATACAGAGCTAATTGTCACTCACCCTCATGCCCATGATGTGA